TATCCACTATCATCCACCGACGTCGAAGCATCCATCGAGGCATGTTTCCGTTTCTGGGAACGTTTCTGGGGCCCACGAAGCATTGCGGGAACAGGAGGCGAAGTGTTGCTTTCGGGCTTCACAAAATGAGGCATAGGGGGCGAGGAGAGTATCTCTGCCGGAAGTGGAGAAGAAAGGGGGGCTGGACCGGGTCCATCCATCTTTTGGGGTTTCTCTACTGGCTCCTCCGCGCAGGTGTTGTCGGATAACGGAATCGTGGCATCTGATGAAGGCTCGGGGGGGGCAGGAGCGGACGTGTGCGATATAGCTTGCATATACGGTGCAGCTTGAGCCTGGGGGGGCGGAGGCAGCGACGGGAGGCCATCCGGAGGAAGATAAGGGGTTTCGAAGTGGGAATAATCGACACGCGGCGCCATAGACATTACGTGTACGGTTTCCAATCCCGCCGCGGCCTTCCTGCTTGGCTTCTCCTTGATAAATTGCTGCTCCATACCTGGCTCGATAGCCCAATAATTCCCCTTTCCCGGATCATCCTTCGGGCGTTCTTGTTTGATAAAGGCCTTATTGAGACTCAAATTGTGCCGAATGCTGTTCTGCCAACCGGCATCGTTCGCGTTGTAGAATTTGTAGGTATCGGAAATCCACTTGTAAATTTGAGAAAGAGTAAGTTTTTTTTGCGGCGCACGAAGGATTGCCATGCCAATTAGTTGCGCGTAGCTATGTCCAGGCTTCGTCCCATCATCGTAAATAGAAGGAAAGGTAGTTGAATCCGGACGGTGTGGCTCATCGACCTTGGCTTTCTTGAAAGGTCTCGATTCTGTGATAGGAGCGGCTTCTAGAAGGGTCCGTGTTCCTGGTTGAGTTTGATAATACTCTTCCATGTTGAGATTGTATGATGGCGGCGCGGGATACAGCGTGGGATGCACATTTTCCTTATCAATGCCTGCTTGTCGTGAGTTGACCGTCTTGAATGTGGACATTGGTGGTTTCTTCGGCATGGACTCTGCTGCTGGCGCATTTAATGTGGACGGGCATGTGTCTGTCGCACTTAACTTGCGATTCTGTGGGCGACCACCGGAACTAGATGAAGGCTGGGCGAAAGTTTTGTAAGCTCCGTGATGCTTCCTGTCGCCACTGGGAGCATTGTAGGCTAAATTGCTGCTCGAGTTTTGCAAGGGGCGGCGTGGAGAGTGTTGTTTTCCGACGGATGGCATTGGCGCTCGGCTTATTGATGGCACTGCTGGCTGTCCACAGTTTTCGTCTGGAAACTCATCCTGGTATATATGAAGCGGCTCGTTCGGGGCCGCGAAGCGCGTCAATCCGGCCATGGTAGTCAGCCAGGGATGGCGAGCACTGTAAATCAGCGATGTCAGATACGGTCTGCTGATATTAGTTAATACAATGCGCGCGCAGGTGAGAGCAGGCAAACAAAGTAGGCAGTCATTCGTGATCAACACCGTGAAGCAGCAACGGCTTTCGGATGCATGACGACGAAGTAATTGGATGAAAAGCGGCAGTCAAGACTCACCTTGGTCAGAGTGGTTCTCTGAAATGAGTAGTGGAGACCGTAAGGCAAAGCTACCTAGGTTGGGTAACCTCGGGCGCGGTGGATGACTATCGCTAGGGAGCTTTTTAGCAAGTGAGCTTGCGTTTAGGAATTCGAAAGCGCTAGGCGACGCGGGATATTCGCAAAATTATCGAGAAGAATAATTCTCCAAGGAATGGGAAGTAACACAAATGGATGAAGGTGGCAATGGTGAATGGGCGGCAGATAAGCCAGGATGAGAGGAGGTGAAAGACAAAAGGGAGGGGGAGCCGGATCGTCGAGATCTGGGGGAAGAATGACATCTGGAGTGCAAATGCGACAGAGGGAAGGAAAGAACGGTAAGTACTGCCGTATATGGGCAGCGAGCGGTGCAGCTAACAGCGGAGAGTACCGGGATACGCCGGAGGGCGCGGGCAAGCGGGCAGATAAGAAGGTACCACTTGGTGGCGGGCTACTTGGAGTTGGGTAGGAGCGAGGCAGGCCGGCCGGCTTAGTGGAAGGTCGGAAGGTCAAAATAGGTACAAATGCGCTAGCAGATTAGCGCGATTATGTACCAAGCTGAAGACACGAGATGGAAGACCCAGTAGGGCTTAGTTCGCCAACGCAGCAGTGGGACAATAGCGGGGCGCCGAAGCGAAGTGGGCCGCGATGGAGTCAAATGCCCGGCAGAAGAAGCAGAGTGTGCGAGGGGATTGGCCCAGAGCGCTCCGGGCTGAGACGATGGTGGCAAGCAAGATAACAAGGGCCCTGGCCGGGCAAGTGGAGCTGATCAACGTCGGCAAATGTACGTACTATCTGGTACATATGACATGACGCTGGACGGCCGGCTTGAAAGCAGATAGCTCATGCGGAGCTCTGGCAGTTGGCTTGTGGCTTGTGGCGGTTCAGGTCAAGTAGGTAATAAATCGTGCTCCGCATACAAAACCTGAAAAAGCATACGTAACATACCTTCGCTTTAAATTCAAGCTTTGGATGCTTGTTTCTCGTGTCACTTCTTTCTTGTAGACGGCTCCGAAACCGTTGGCAGTGTCGAGAATCGAGATTCAGCGGAGAATGTCTTTGTAGACGAGATGCCGATCAACAGCCGCAAATTGATAGAACAGGCAGGTCGTTGGCTCTGTGTGCAGCACCGGACGGCCAAAGCTGCTGCTGGTCGGGGTAGTGATGGCGCACCAGGAAAATGGTCGTTAGAGACTTCGATCTTGAATCGACAATGTTCGCTGGACTCGACAGAGCTGGGTCAGTCACATCGTCGCACGCTCTATCCTCGACCTCCCCGTTTCGCTCCTACTCGTGCTTTTCTTGGCCCGGCGTACGGTCGTGTCCTCGCGTAGAGTTCCGCCGGCGGTGCGTACAATGTGTGACCAGAGGATGCAATTCGTGCGAGGTGCAAAGGCCGTCGGGTCAGGGATTAATGAAGTGGACGCAAGCGATTGGACGTGAAGAGGTGGCGCGTAGAGTGATTCCCAGATTGGTTGGGGAGGAGAATTCGGAGAGGGGGCGGCCCGGGCGAGACGCGTCGTATTGTTTTTAAATGCCCAGCGACGTGTCGGGCCAATCAGAACACCGGCAACATCCCTCGGCCGCTGTACTTATGGGTACCATCTGGCGGTGTACTTCTGCATGCACTTTGTATCTGAGAGTCCTGCCCCACCGAGCACTAACCGGAGGCGCACTGTGCCGGCTACCGGCGGTGTATCAGGTGCTATGTGCGCTAGGCACGCCATCTACCACGCTTACCGCACGATGAACAGCGCTATCTCCCGTACCTCGGACTGTGCCGGCACTCTCCTAAATTGCCGCGTAGAGGTACACCGTATGGGAGCCAGCTGCACCGTACGGTCCATAATGTACTGTGCCATGTACACATGTGTAAATCAAAGACAGCATCAAAATGTAGATAGGTGGTATATGCCGGATACTTTCATATCAAGGCGGTACTTTCTACCTACAGGCAACCTTCACAGCGTCTATAACAGTGTATAGTCCCAAAGAAAAAAAAGGGAAGTGCTACAAGGTATACGAATCCATTCAGCCGGTAGCTTTGAGGACTCCGGCGTCATGAGCTGTCTACGCATACTGAATACAAAGTAAAAATAGGAGCCATTTAGGGCTTATAGTGCTTACATAGGGCTACGGCTAGTGACCCTCTCGGTAACTTATATCCGTAGATAACATCCAGTTCCTGCACAATAGGCTATAACTACCAACAACCTCCCGCTTCGCACATAGATTACTCTCGTACATCTCCATGCAAAGTAGCATGTTGAGTACGGAATAGGAATATGTGTGTAATCAATCGTACATGCATTCCATACGATGGCTAATGGATAGGGCATCCGGCATCACATGTAGCTGCCTATCGCTCGGTCCGTTCCAGCCGGGCGTCAGCCGCCGTTGACTTGGCCCAACAGCCACACAAGTTGCGGACTATACTTCGTACAACAATCCTCAACTCCGGTTTTTGGGGTTTGTTTTATGTTTTTTATTTATTTACGAGATTCAAAGGTTACGTAGAGCATCGCTGCCGTTATATGGCTAGCATCGACAGCCGCAATCCCTCACAATGGGAAGGGTCGATAATTGACGTACATCATAATTGCATGGGCAGCGTTTGTGACGGGCCTCAAGGCGGAGGCCTCGGTAACACCCAGAAGAAAACGCGGACAGTCAAGATGGAGGGGATGGCGGTTAGCGTGGCCAGGATATGCCAGACCGCATGACAGAGGTTTTAGAGTCATCGCGACGGCCCCCATGAGGTCCAGCGACGGATGACGAGGGTGGTCAACAGTCTTCTGGCGCGCTGACAAGTTGTTGCATGGGGATAATAAAGCCGCATGGTACAAGGGAACAGAATGGCCGAACATGCGATTTTGGCGCATGGATCTAGATGGCTCTGCAAAGTGAACATCGCTCTGGGTATGGATCAATCAGCCAACGGGCCATGTCGAAGGATTGTGTTTGGGTCGACCGCTCTCCACCGGTGGATCATGGCGGCATTAAAGCGGTGGCCTCAACCCCGACCTCGCTGGTCTCCTCGATGTGCAACGAGCCACCAGCCCATCATAACCCCGGCTCTGACCGAATATCGAGATCGGGCTTGAGGCCCAAGGCCCGACCTCCAGCTAATCGCGTCCCTGAAACAGCATATGGCCGCCTTTGCTGGCCGGTTGGGTTGCAACCACCATGACGATAGCGTGCCACCATCATGATGGGCATAGCACAGCCACGGTCTCAAATGCTCCCGGATTCCCCTGCTGCAAGAAGTCCAGGACTCTCTCGATGTAGTCGTTGACTCACAAGTAGAGGTGTATCTAGAGTATACCCGCCTGGCTATCTACACCGTCTCGTGATAAGGGCACAGTTTAGTGTAAGTTGGCAATGTACCCACTTGGTCTCCCACAACGATAATTCATACGCTTTTGGCACCTCCGCCTCCAACAATTCGTCGCCTGCCCGGTTAGCTCAATCGGTAGAGCGTGAGACTCTTAATCTCAAGGTTGCGGGTAAGTCTCAGATTCGATCCATGGATATGCTACACTTGATTCTAACAACCCTTGATTAGGTTCGACCCCCGCATCGGGCTCAATTCCTGATGCTCCCTAGTTAACTAGGGATAGCAGCCATCAATCCTTTTTTTTGCTCCCTTGCTATAACAATATGAACGGTATTTGCCTGCCTATTATTACGCGGCATCTTATTTCTGTATGTTGGATATTGTGACCTGGGATTTAGCGAGGCGGCAAAGGGCTGGGGATTGGGTTCGGATTGCCCGGGCCGGCTGATGAACAGATGGCGGATGCGAATGCATATTGCCGTAGCTGCAAGGCTCATATTAATCACGTCGGTGGGGAGGCTTGGTTAATTGGCCGCGAGGTGAAGTATAGTAGCACGTATTTACGGTGGTGCAGAAGAGCGGACGAGAGAGAATCCGAATACTCATACCTAGCAAACCGCCCACTTGAAAATGGCGAGTAGACGAATCCTCTTGGTTATAGCACGAATTTACCCGGCTTCATCACCATTTCCCTCCGTGCGTAAATCAGAGAACTCCCGAGCACGAAAGTTCGATATATTTAATCGACTTAGCTTCAAGAATCCAGTTTTGCAACAGCTTATATGAACTAGGTAACTACAAGTGCGACGATAGGCATAATAAAGCTTGATAACGAGGAAAAGTGATAGGTAACATGACATGCATCCGCAGTCAGGAACTTGCATAGTAGATCCAGCTGTCCTCCCTCCTCAAGTCGACCGCCATTCACCTCACTTACGGACCGTACACAGCATTCTATCGAAACTGTCAATACCATCACAGCGATCGAGTATACATGCTAGCGTAGTAGGTACCCAGGATAGACGCGCTTTGTCTCGGCTAGGAGATTATAGGACCCTACGGAGTGAGTTTGTCTTTGCGGAGAAGGGTCGGAGGAAAGTAGATAGGCAGGTATAGGCATTGAAAAGGGCCAATAATTGGCTGCAGTCCACCAAGTCAGGCGAACCGATTGCCACCAAAGGATTGAGAGGCAGAATCGGGCCGAACCCTGCGCTAATACTAACTCATTCTACTGTGTTTGTGCTGGAATCTGTGTGAAATACCAAGACACTTCATGCGTTGATTCATGCGTTGAGCGTGCCATGTATATCAAGCCGAGCGCAGTTTTACTAGCTCCTGAGCAGCTTAAGTACACCCTAGCCTACATGATTGCGCCGGCTGCAACAATATAGCGACTACAGACTATAAGATATACGGTATGTAGTTGAAATATTTACTATACCTAAGACTAGATAGGTATTCCAGACGATGGATTCCGTCTAAATACCTTGAGTATCGACACAGATACGGTACCTGCTCGGCCCCACAGAATAACGCCCTGGGTTTACGGGCGTGATCGGCACAGGGGTGATCCCGGGCACGAATGTACGGCCTATCGGCATAGGTATGTACCTTATATACTTTGCATCAACAGTTCTATGTTTGTATCGTCACTCAGTGGTAGCATAGATGGGACCGGCATGTGTTCCGCAGGTTATAGCGGACAAGATAATCAGCACCGGTGAGTCGGCAATGTGCCGGCTTGTGAAAAGTATTCGACGGCGTGACGGAGCAGCACAAGGAACCCCGGTGGGGGCCGCGTCTTCCGCGCCGACCGCGTCGAAGTAGCGGGTGAGAGATGCAAAGAGCTAGGTAGCGTCCTGGTCCTGAATCGCCGGCGCGACTAGGCCGGTGGGGCAGGGCAGACCGGATTGATCAGGGCACGGGCGGCGGCTTGGGATACCCTTATACTGGGCGGTGGGCGCAGGTTATGTATTCGAATGTCTCGCGCACGATTGCGTTGTGAGCATAGGAATAAGTCAGGACCAAGCCCACATAGGTCAGATACAGGCATCAATACCTAATATCACTCCAAGTGACTGAGCACAGTCCTTGCAAGTAAAGACGGACAACGTCTGACTTTGTCCCTAAGGTAGGTTATTAATCGATGAACCACGACGACGATACTGCCAGTCGAGTGTAGACCACACAAACCATGGAGCAATGCGGATTGATCAATCAGGATATCATCGATTCCATCTACAAGCAATAGTTTAATGGACTCGCACCTAGTGTATATATAATTGTATTCGAGATTTTGAATCATTAAATTGGTCTCAAGTCGTCATGACTTCATAATAATTGCCTGGAGACTGAGACGGCTGAAACTCACTATAACGCCAGTATACCCGCGCATTCTCCCTAAAATCAGACTTCCATACTTGACTGTTAGATTCGCCGTGCCAATATCCGGCCAGGCCGGGTTAGCAAGGCCATGAGCGTTGAATACTGGCGGGAGCGTTTGGAGATCACCTTCAGCGCGGGGATGAAGCGGGCGGGAGCTGGTCTCCTACACTACACAACCTAAACCACCCATCTAGATTCGCTGTGGCGGACGGCCGGCAGCCAGGAGTACCTAGAACTGAATTTTAGGAGATATCTATGGAGATTGGGTTTAGGTAACCCAATGCGCAAGTATTCCGCGGGGATTCCGTAGTTATATTCGCTTTACATCTGACTTCGTTATTCCGTACCACCAATTACCTACTGGGCACCTACCAGACTCTATAGGTACCAGTTTTGCACCATATAGTGGTACTACAGTGAATCTCAGCAATCTTAGTGGCACGAAGCTGTTAGAGCAATTGGATTTCGTACATATAGGCGTGTATGCTGCGATACCTGCTTACACCGGAGTAACTATTATGCCTATCTCTCTAGATAGTAGGTGCCTATTGATCGGGCTGGCGTAATGCTCGGCCACTCAGGGGCACCGCTCTCTCATAGCCCCTTGTCGATGCGGTCAAGTGTGTTAGCCGGCCGAGCAACAGTGAGTCTGCAAGGTAGAGACGTCGAAGGTAATTACATAATACATAGTAGATAAGCGCATATGCTACCATCTAGAACTTTCCTGGTAACCGTAGATGCCAATCTGAGGGTGTAGATACGAGTCATACGTGCCTACCCTCATCTTCAAAGTTCATATCGGCAGGGCGGTAAGGCAGTATGATTGCCTGGGCAGTCACGACTGCCTGCGGCCGTGCCGGCACCTGCCTGGGCGTGGTTCCAACTAGGTAGCCACACACTCTACGTGACCGTAATTGAGGCGAACAGATTACCATGGGTAGGTAGATTTCCTAGTGGATGTTGTCTGTCGCTCGCCACGAGTTAGCCCGGCTTCTAGGCAATGCGAGAACCTTCTATCAACACGATTGGGGCGCTGTGTCGCCGCCTTGCTGTCTGCCAAAAGGTACCCGGGACGACTCTGTATAGATATACCCGGACATTCCACCAGACCACAGGGAATCACGGCATAGACCGCTCTCAACACAGAGGCACGTATCGGGAGATGTCGATGGAACAAGCTGCAATGTCTTCTTCCGCGCGCGCAAAAGCTGCGCAGAGGCTAACAGACCTCCTGACTCCGCTGCTTGGGACCGAGACGCAGCCTGGTTCACCGCCGACGGTGCCGTATGAGGAAATCCTCACCGCCATGCAGGGTCTCGCTCATACGCTTATACCGGAGCATCCCCTCTCCACCATATATCACGATGGTGAGGTCCATGATCCACTGGGTGGTGGCAGCTACGCTTTCCAAAACGATATCGTAGAGCCCGTTCTACGTGCATTGCTTCGAGATGAAGATTTATGCAGGGCTCGCAACACAGATCCGGCTCCCGTCGAAGCTGGAAATCCCAACCGCCTGCCGGGTCGACCGATTGTTATTCATGCCGGACTCCAACCCAACAACTCCCCCCATATGGGAACACTCGTTGTCTTCTGCTATGCATTTGCATTTGCTCGAGCGATTCGTGATCGCATGGCCAAGGCAGCTGAAAGAGGGGATGGTTTGCCGTCGGTCACTGTCTTGATTACATTTGTTGATACCGCTCCAGTGAAAGATCAAGGGGTTGAAGTCGACGGAGTCCACTACCAGAAATCGCATAGGGATATCTCGGAGGCCTTTAGCAAATATATGCCTGATTATAAGGAGGTGCTTCAGCTTTTATCGACTTGGTCCAACATTCCGGTCATGGAAGCCGTCCAGTCCGACCTTTTTTCCAATCCAGCCATGCCGCTGCTTGTCGACTACATGGTGTCTCAGCGAGCAACTCTTGGGCCTCAGCTCTCACCGAAATTCGGTTCGCTTGCTCTCCGCTCAGCATGTCCAGTGCCAGGCTGTGGTCTTGCAGAGAAACACGGTCTGTTCAATAAATACGAGACGAGCGATCAAAACCAGGGCGGTGCTATCACGTTCCATTGCCCGAATCACAGCCCACACACCATCCGCCTCTCTCAACCTGAAGAGGTTGCTCGTCTTGAAGCGAACACCCCGACGCGAAATTTGCTGCGTAGTATGACGCATCTGCTCGACACCGGTGCCCATCATATCCGCGTCACGGGCTCTGATTATGCAGGCATGTATCAGGAGACACTCCTTTACCGTCCGCTCGCTGCCTGGTCCGCCGCCACGGGCCTAGCCAGCGGCCGGACGCCTCACATCCTGTACGCGCCGTTAATCGTGGACTGGAGCGGCGCAAAGTTGTCCAAGTCACTTTATGTCAGTGATGGCGCGTACGCGACCATGAAGTATCTAGGAACAGACGGATTCCGTAGCTACGCGCAATTGAAAGACCGATTCGGCGGTAATGGCGCCAAGGGTTTGCGTAAGGTATGGGAGGAGGTGGAGAATTGGGTTGCCGATCCCAGGAAACTATTCCGACCGTTCTCGTTGGCGTATTTGCAGAAGATTCTCATGGAGGATGATTAGGCGGGACTCGGGAATTATTACCTAGCTGCTATAGACCACCTAGCTGGCCGGAATGTGCTGAATGACTTCTTTCAACCCGCAGCTCGATACCCCTGTTTCCCCTGTGACGTCTTGTACGGGATACAAGCAGTTAGTCATCTAAATTAAAAGACTTTCTTCACTTTGTCGGTCTTATCGTCACCGTCGCCCCATCTATCCATCCACAATGCGGGCTTCATGTAGCACCAGCCCATGGGCACGCTCATACCCCACTTAGACTTCATCTCTGCCAGGGTCACCGGCTTGACTAACTCGTACAGCTCCAGAATGGGATATCCGAACTTAGACTCCTTACGGCCGGCGTTGAAGTCTTCGTTGCCGATTCCAAAGGGCTCAGCGGGGACGAAGCCGGGGGTGTGGCGCACTGAGTCGGGGATCACGGCGACGTGTCTGGTCCAGCAGTCAGTCGTACCCATTCATGAACAACGTGGACGAATAAACAAATCATCCCATAGTTATGGTTAGTTATGGTAATACGTACGTGATTGACGACTTCCCGCCGTTCACGGCAGTCTCGTAAAGCCACAGGCGCTCAACGCCGTCGCGGAGCCGGTACTTGCGGTATTCATGATTCTTCTGCCGACTGGCAATGTTGGCCAGGTGGACGGAGTGGATTGATAGGAGGACGTCGGTGTCAACGCGGTCGCTATCCTTGGACTTGGTCTTTGATGCGGGCTTGGCTTTTGCCGCGGTTCGCTTGGTTATGCGATGCGTATTGCTGGATAATTGGGGCGCCATGATTTCCCGATTGAAGTCTGGATGAAGAGAGACAGAGAGAGGAAAAGGAAAAGGAAAAGGAAAAGGAAACACCTGTGGCGTGCGAAGCAGTCAGATGTTTGGTGGTAGACGCGTCTTCGCGTTTCTGTGGTGGCGCATCAATTGTATAGCGATATGCATTTGTATTCCGTAGATACTTCGGTATATTACATAGAGGCAACGGACGGAAGAATCTGCCCGTGCTCCAGGGTTCTCTTGGTCACTTATTTGCAAACTGGCATGCACGCACAATGAAGGAAACTGCGATGGTCCCATTAACTACCGAGATAGCCTGTAGGTATTCTTGGAGGGAGTCAAGCACGCGCCTCAAGGGTCCTTTAACGGGAACTTTCCTGCTGATGCCGCTTTTAGCTTCAGCTTCTTCGCCTGAACTTACCCGGTCTAGCCTGAAGCCCACGTGCATGACCTAAAAATGCCGGTACGTACCTGCATAACTTATTACCGTACGTAGACTAGCGTATCTCTAAACTGCCGGCAACTAAGATTCTGAATAGTTGCAAGATACTGGTAATTAGTCTAACAAGCGGAATGTGATCGCTTCAAGAGCGGCGTGCTTTATATCTAGCCGATCGGCATTTTAGATAATTCAAGCAGGTACTCAAGGCTGCTCAGACCGACGCGTTTCGTTGATGCGTACCTGTTCAACGCTCCCCAAGAATCTTGCCTGCACTAACAGGTACCTACCTAACTTGAAGTACTCAGTAAACTGAGCTAACCAGTACAGGCAGTACTTGTCAAAGGCACAGCTAAAAGGCGATTAGGTAGCCACCGGCCCACTTGCGTTGAACATTTGCCGGCGCTCACTAACCGTTGATCGCGCTGCAACCTAAAACGAACCCATCATCAGTTTGCGTGCTTTGGTGGCAGTTGACTGGCTCCGGTTGGCGAAACCGGCGAAACCAAAAGAGAGTGGGGCACGGGTACCCGCAATGCAAAAAATTTCTGCCGTCTGCCTCTTTTTCTAATGCCGTACGGACCCGGTTGATTCAACAGCAACAGCTACAATGGCTTCGTGGCCCAATGGCAAGGCGTCTGACTACGAGAAGATTCAGCAATGAACCCTTCACGGTAATCAGGAGATTCTGGGTTCGACCCCCAGCGAGGTCAGCGTGAGTGAGTCTATACTCACTCTCCGGAGTTTGTGGTTTCGTGGCCCAATGGCAAGGCGTCTGACTACGATGGAAGTTCACGCTTCTCTAGTGATCAGGAGATTCTGGGTTCGACCCCCAGCGAGATCATTCACGATGTTGTGATTTTTTTGGGTTCCATGTGCGATTTGTACACTATGGGCCTAATTCTTTATGTAGGTATTTTGCTTCGGTTCCAAACACAAACGCGTTACCGACTCTGCTAGGCCACCGATCGCAGTCGGCCAACCCACCTAACCAAGCACTAGAAGTGTCACCGACACTCCCTAAATCCCACCATTGGCCGGCTTGGGTTGGTGGCCTACTGCAATGGGGTTGGTAAGTGGTAGGTAGCACATCTGGCCCAATTGTATTATGTAATAATAAGTTATGCCTGATGAACCCCGCCATCTCCGTCCAGCCGACAACCTTAGCATCGTCTTCAACAACTGCCCCTCAATTGAGCTGCTGTGGTTGCTACCACACTAATAATCTCTCCCAATCCTCATCATTCCGAGTTTTTCTACCACTACTATGCAGGCAGCAAGCATTTCTATAACATAAAACTAGATTCAATAAAGAACGCCGGTCAAAATGCCCAATTGGCGATCCGATTACCTGGCCTCGCTGGAGGACGCCGAGCGCAACAACCCCGTGAACAGGGCTCTCGTCGAAGCTTGTAAGCGCCATCCTATGACTAGTAACATCACAAACCTGTATTCGTGCCAACACCGCCTCCATGAACACCCATGAGCTCCATTCTATACCGTAGCCTGCTTGTTCATACAGGTATGCAATGCCGACGACGACGCTCATTAACCCCCGTTTCTAGGCTCCCAGCTTGCAGACCGCGTCGCAGCGCTCGAGGCCGAAAAAGCGGCCTGGACTGCGGGTTCAAAACCTCCCCCTACCAAAGCAACGCCCTCAAAACCCTTGCCCACGAGCGCGGCGGACCCTACGGCCCCATCGGAAGGCACGGCGCAGCTCCGCCTCGATCTTGCCGAGGCCCTACGGGGGCGCGGCCAGGCGCAGGCCCGGTTAAAGGCCGCTGAGACCGAACTTGCGACGCTGAAGTCGAAGACTCAGGCCGAGGGCAAACGTGTTACCGACTTGACGGCTGAACGCAATATGTTGAAGTCCCGGGTGCGTGATCTGAACGAGGAGCTGGAGAAAAAGAAGAAGTTCCTGAAGGTAAGTTAGACCACGGGGGAACGAGGTTTACTTGTCTTTTTGCTCGTTTATTTGCTTGGGGAGGTGATATGTTTGAGTAGTTGGAGTTGGCTATCGCGAGGGCCGATTCTGGATACAACAGAAACCCGGGAAGAGCGCATGGCGGTGGAAGAGGTGGAAGAAAGAGGCACATTGCCAACAACCGCTTGTCTGAGAAAAGACCTTGTTCATGCTGACTGTCTTCCCTTCCCCTAGGACGTACAAGATGATAACCTCACTTTGAATATGGAGCTTAACATGACGACGCAGAAGGCAGCCAAGGTGCAAGCCGAAAACAAAGAGCTTGTTGATCGTTGGATGAAGAGGATGGGCCGTGAGGCTGACGCCTTGAACCTTCAAAATGAGTCGCCAAAGAGCCACAGGTGATAGCGGCGACAAAGGCCAACTAAGACGAAATGTCCATCATCATTACTATATCTGGTATCATCCACGGTTGCGTTGTCTATGCTGTAAGTGTCTAATGCGCGGTTGCGCCCGTTCCACCTCCAGCCGATAATTCCTCCCCCAGGTTATGCAACCGTGGTGTCCTGTAAGGGATCGCTCTATATATACAAGTACAAGCCATAATAGCTAACGTCTGATCCAAAAGCAACCAAAAAAACTCATGTGCGGTGCGGCCTATACCAGCCTTCTACTTCCTGGTGGAGATATAGTACTCGCCATCAGACCCAGTCCAACTCACCCAATTCTCGTGATATCGGAAATACTCGACATCGAGGATGCTCGTGGCAACGTCGTTGATTGCCGTTTTGTTGTCATGTACGAAGGATTTAAGGGATATGATCTTGCATCCCTTCTTCAGGTCGAGGAACATGTTGATGAGGGAGTCGTTGAGGGTGGACGTAAAGGCTTTGTTGTTGACGAGCACGACGTCGGCCTCCTTCAGCTTCTCGAGGATCTTTGCGTTCGTACGGAAATCGCCGCGCTCAAGATGGACCATTCCAGGTGAGACGCCCCAAAGCGCACACCGAGCTCTGAACTCATTTTCTTGCGCTTCCGCTAGGTTGCAAGCGTTTTCCATCATCTCGCACCCATAACTGCGACACCCAATCTCGAGTGCAGCCTGAAGAACAACATTGCCAACTCCTGACCCGAGGTCGACGAAGACTTGGTCTGATGTCATTTTAGTCTGTTCTACCAGGATCTTAGTGATGAATGGATGCAGCAACTCTCCGTAGACATTATCGCTTCCAGCATCGTATTTCGTAAGCATTTCGACTTTCGGGGCGACAGTGCGATCATAGACTTGAGTGAGGATTAAGGAGACGAGACTGGACGGCAGGTGGTGGATTCGGTCGAGGTTCTTGGCGACGGTGCCATCTTTCACTAGCTCTAGGAGTTTTGTATTGTAGCTATCAAGGGCTGTTCGAAAGGCCGAGACATCTCGGTACTTCTCGCTTATAGCCCGTTCCATCTGTCTCCTAAAACTAGTGTTGTGATCAATAAAAGCCTTGGAGTCGGCGTCGGTGAGATATGTCTCAGCTACGCTTTCAATGATTGCGAGAATATCCTTGACAGCGTCGATTTTATCTTTTTGCCATACGAGCTCGTACCTTGAATACAATACGTATTAGTACCGTCGAGCCCTACCAGATGAGACCCAGCTTACCTCTCCCGCGCGCTATGGGACGGATATTGCACGCTGATCGCCACCTCGTGGTCCTTCGCGCCAGGGATTGCGGGACACTTCGTTGCTCGCGAGGCGATATCAGCGGCGTGGATGATATTGGGTCTCCTGATATCGTCGCCGAATGCCTTCTTACGGCGCAACTTGCGGTTCACGTCGACTGGCCTGCCGTCGCTCCGTCGCATGCGCTTCCGAAAGGGATCGCCGTCCTCGTCTTCGGACTCCGTGTCGTTGCCGAAAACGGGCGAATCGCGCGGCGTACTCGTGATGGCCTTGCGCTTCCGCTCGAGCCGCGGCTCGTCGCACGAGGAAGGGTATGGAGACGCGCTCTTCGGCCGCGACGTCTGCGGCTTGGGTAGGAGCTTCGTCGAGGAGACGTGGGCGGGCGATGCGCGCCCGCTCTTGGGGGATTTCTGACTGGGGCGTGGCTGGCTGGGCACTACGACCCTCTCGACGCGCATGGCGGGCGGCGGCGCCTTGAGTTTCGACTTCTGGCCGAAGAGCCCCATGGCTGCAGCGGATCTGGATTGTGACGCGGCAGGCTAGGGTTTGCTCGATGCATATAATATGAAGGTCGTGTGTGTAATAGTTACGAAGATCTGAACCAAGTGAGCCGGCTAGGCAGTATATGTGTATGCCATTCAGGTAGGAGGGGCACTTGACGAGGGGAGGAAAGGCTCTCGGGTGGTCTGAAAGAGGGCGTGCATGGAACCGGGAGGCTGTCGGGCCAAGAGGGGCAGAGAAAAAGAGGGAAACAATGAGACGAGAAACCAGGCAGCCAATGCCCGCAGTCGCTCGGAATATGCAGTAATGCGCCGTAATACCTTATAGTGAGGACTTCGCGGCCTCTCTCACTGGGATTCAATTCACGGGGAGGGCGTCTGGGTGCTAATCTACGGTGTAGGCACGGCGTGCAGAGACGCTGACGGTAAGAGTTAACGTGTTCACGCTGCTCAGCCCACCGTGTTGCTCGGCCATGCTCGGCCACGCCCGGCCACGCCCGGGCCACGTCGGGTTTAAAACGGGCGATTGCGTATGCGCGGTGGCCGACCAGCCTGGTAGGCCGATCACTACGGTAAACACGTTAGCACGGCACTATAAATGGGACGTACCTTAGACGGCAGATCCTGTCGTGCAAGGCAGATCCCCGGAGTAGGTGTGAGCCACGTGCTGTCTGTATGAATTCGCTTCGATGCTCAATTATATAAGTACGTATGGGCCAATTATCAATCATCGTTTGCTATCCCTTGAAAGTTGGGACACGCTGCAACATGCACATGTTTTCTTCTGTCGGTATTCCGTACCTTACGGACATACGCGTTGCCCGATCTACGTAATTGCACATTAAGCAGATACTACGTACTATATGCTTATATATGCTCTTAGACAGATATTGCGAAAAACGAGGAGTCCAGTTCACCCCAAGGGAAATTCTTGTGAATTCCTCTGAGTTTTGAACGTGATAGGTTCTTAATTGCTAACATACCTATTCATAGGTAACCCACACGTGAAACATCCTTCCCAATCACGTATTCATCTCCCAGTGGGACAGCAACAAGGAGACAGAGAATATCACATACACCTCCAAGTACCGCGGAGATATCTATGCTGGTTCTTCGTGTTGCTATGGTACGCGTAGGGGCCGACAACTACGTTACCTCACAAATGGACACTGAGAGCCTCAGATTCAGCGACGCCGGACGTCGTCGTTCATTTGATGCTTATAAGCCAACAATGAATACCACAAACCACTTGTTACAGAGCCAGCTTCTGCGCTCACCAGGCCCTAGGGCTCTGCTTCATCACCGTCGCAAGCCACTTCTGGCAAAAGACTCAGGCTTTCAAGGGATCGGGTTTGAAGCCTTATTGGTGGAGAGGGTAGAAAGACGTTTAATGAGTCCTCAAAGTCCTCACTGCCACTTCTTTGCCACGGTGAGCCATTAAGCGATGGGACTGCGAGAAAGCGAAAGCGAATATTTATGTTTTGGTTTTGAAAGAGACTAATACGTAGAAGTATATTAAAGGCTTCTGTCCATGCAAGAGGCTTTGTACTGAGATTGGCCGGATTGGGAACTCTGCCCATGATCCTTTTCAAGCTTGCTTTGACAATGTTGCTAATCTTTCCGTGCTGCGCTGACACAATGACTCTTTATTAGGGTCCGTACTAATATACGCAACTAGAATGCCGTCCCGGGGGAGAGTCGCTTTAACGGCTACTTTACTCCACGATAAACACAATTAATAATCAGAATTC